GACAGATACTCCAATCTCCGCTGTGGAGCTTTGCAGCTCCTTCAGGGTTATCTTTGGTCTCTTTGTTGCCTCTCTGATTAATGCCCTCCTTGCCTGGTCCAGGAGTTTTGGTAGGTGGCCCTCTCTTGGCAGGTTTGTTGTGATGCCATATTCTTTCAATTTTTTAATAATGGATTTAATTGTGCTCTGTGGGATGTTCAAAGTTTCAGATATTTTTTTATAACCCAACCCTGATCTGTACTTCTCCACAACTTTGTCCCTGACCTGTTTGGAGAGCTCCTTGGTCTTCATGGTGCCGCTTGCTTGGTGGTGCCCCTTGCTTAGTGGTGTTGCAGACTCTGGGGCCTTTCAGAACAGGTGTACATATACTGAGATCATGTGACACTTAGATTGCACACAGGTGGACTTTATTTAACTAATTATGTGACTTCTGAAGGTAATTGCACCAGATCTTATTTAGGGGCTTCATGGCAAAGGGGGTGAATACATATGCACGCACCACTTTTCCATTATTTATTTTTTAGAATTTTTAGTTATTTTCACTTTTTTGTGTATGTCCATTACATGAAATCCAAATAAAAATCAATTTAAATTACAGGTTGTAATGCAACAAAATAGGAAAAATGCCAAGGGGGATGAATACTTTTGCATGGCACTAGGAGGGGAAGAGTTTTATACAGTCACTGGGAGGGAGAGAGATGCATACAGTCACGGCAAATGTTGTTATAACACAAACTGTCCATTCGTGGTGATTATAGAATGTTTGTACAAAGCATTGATGTTGCAAGAACATTTCTAAAACACATTTAATCTGTTCTTTAAAGGTTCCCTGAATGTTTCATTATGTTGTGGGAACCGTCTGGTGAGAACTTTGTGGGGGATCACTAAAGATATGTTCCCAAAACACAAAAACTGTCCAGTTGTGCTGACATTCAGATAATGTTTGTATCAGGTTGCACAAAGCATTCCTTTGATGTTGCAAGAACGACGACAGGAACAGCCTTTCTGAATTCTTTAAAAAGGTTCCCAGAACGTGTAATTAGGTTGTGGGAACAGTGTGGGTACATTACAAGAGATAGGTTCCCAAAACACAAAATATGCTTAGTTGTGATGACATTCATAAAATGTTGTAATAATAAAATAAGTCTTTCTATTATGTTCATATTTGTTTTAGGTTTAACGTAATATTCCGTTGATGTTCACACAATATACATTTTACCCTGTCAAAGTAATGTATAGACCAGTGCCGTTTTAAGATTAGGGAGGACTATTTCTTTTTTTAATGAGCATTGCCTTATTTCTATTACAGCATATTGGATGACTGTCATTCATATTCCATTCACCCAGTTCAATGTAACATCGATAGGTTTAGGCTACTACATGATACTAGAATTTTCCCTATACCCATCATGAGGTTGCTACAACCTAGCCTATGAATTAAAGTTTACAACGTAGGTGCACAGAGGTCGAGATGCAAATTTGATTTACAGACAGTGACACATTCAATACCGCCTCGCACACTCTCGCCTGCATCTAGCTGATCTAGGGTGTAATTATTAGTCCAAACAGTTGTTTTGCAAATAAAACTAAAAATTCAGGTAATTCCATCCTGTTACTTTCCATTTGCTTCCATTTAAGCAACGTTCGGCGGAATGAATACATCAACCACACACACAGTTCACTTTCATAGCAGCCATACAAACAGCATCATCACATCTACATGATCATTTTACTCGTTGTAGAATCTCTTCTCGCATCTATGCGCTCTCCTCCTCTCACATTTTCCCTTCGCTTGTGGACTTCAGTGCACAACACAACAGCTGTCTGTGACCAGGCGAAAAAACCTCTCCAAGCCAAACCTTCATACCATAACCGCTAACCGCTACACACAGCCTACATTGTTGGTCACCATATTAGCTAACGTCATAGTCAACAAACTAGAACTAACGCGTTAGTAAACCCACAATCCAATCCATGTGTACAATCACGCAGTAGTGTACAGCAAGCGGTTTAGCGGTTACGCCGGCACGCCCCAGTGGCAATGAATTAATAAAACCGTAATCTTCCAAAATCTTGGAAGAGTTGGAGTGTTGGATAGCCTTAGCCAGCTAGCTAACATAAATGGCATTCCTCTCTGAGTTAGGTTGTTGAGTAGGCTAAATTAGCTACATTAGCTAGCTAAGTATGTGAAAGGGAAAAATACACCAAATATAAATCTCTGCTGCTTCTCCTTCATTTTTTAGATAATTTGTTCAAAACTGTTCAACTGTTGTCTTTCTCTCTCTTCGAGTCAACTAAACTCAAAAAAAAAAAAAAAGTCCCTTTTTCAGGACCCTGTCTTTCAAAGATACTTCGTAAAAATCCAAATAACTTCACAGATCTTCATTGTAAAAGGGTTTAAACACTGTTTCCCATGCTTGTTCAATGAACCATAAACAATTAATGAACATGCACATGTGGAACGGTCGTTAAGACACTAACAGCTTACAGACGGTAGGCAATTAAGGTCGCAGTTATGAAAACTTAGGACACTAAAAGAGGCCTTTCTACTGACACCAAAAGAAAGATGCCCAGGGTCCCTGCTCATCTGCGTGAATGTGCCTTAGGCATGCTGCAAGGAGGCATGAGGACTGCAGATGTGGCCAGGGAAATAAATTGCAATGTCCGTACTGTGAGACGCCTAAGACAGCGCTACAGGGAGACCGGACGGACAGCTGATCGTCCTCGCAGTGGCAGACCACGTGTAACAACACCTGCACAGGATCGGTACATCCGAACATCACACCGGCGGGACAGGTAGAGGATGGCAATAACAACTGCCCGAGTTACACCAGGAACGGACAATCCCTCCATCAGTGCTCAGACTGTCCGCAATAGGCTGGGAGGGGCTGGACTGAGGGCTTGTTGTAAGGCAGGTCCTCACCAGACATCACCAGCAACAACGTCGCCTATGGGCACAAACCCACCGTCGCTGGACCAGACAGGACTGGCAAAAAGTGCTCTTCACTGACGAGTCGCGGTTTTGTTTCACCAGGGGTGATGGTTGGATTCGCGTTTATTGTCGAAGGAATGAGCGTTACACCGAGGCCTGTACTCTGGAGCGGGATCGATTTGGAGGTGGAGGGTCCATCATGGTCTGAGGCGGTGTGTCACTGCATCATCGGACTGAGCTTGTTGTCATTGCAGGCAATCTCAACGTTGTGCGTTACAGGGAAGACATCCTCCTCCCTCATGTGGTACCCTTCCTGCAGGCCCATCCTGACATGACCCTCCAGCATGACAATGCCACCAGCCATACTGCTCGTTCTGTGCGTGATTTCCTGCAAGACAGGAATGTCAGTGTTCTGCCATGGCCAGCGAAGAGCCCGGATCTCAATCCCATTGAGCACGTCTGGGACCTGTTGGATCGGAGGGTGAGGGCTAGGGCCATTCCCCACAGAAATGTCTGGGAACTTGCAGGTGCCTTGGTGGAAGAGTGGGGTAACATCTCACAACAAGAACTAACAAATCTGGTGCAGTCCATGAGGAGGAGATGCACTGCAGTACTTAATGCAGATGGTGGCCACACCAGATACTGACTGTTACTTTTGATTTTGACCCCCTCTTTGTTCAGGGACACATTATTCCATTTCTGTTAGACACATGTCTGTGGAACTTGTTCAGTTCATGCCTCAGTTGTTGAATCTTGTTATGTTAATACAAATATTTACACATGTTAAGTTTGCTGAAAATAAACGCAGTTGACAGTGAGAGGACGTTTTCATTTTTTTCTGAGTTTATATTAGGGTTAGGTACTAGTCTCTCCAGTTCATGCTGCAAGAGCTCTGATAGGTTGGAGGACGTCCTCCTGAAGTCGTCATAATTATTGTGCAAGTCTATGGAAGGGGGTGAAAACCATGAGCCTCCTAGGTTTTGTATTGAATTCAATGTACCCAGAGGAGGATGGAAAATAGCTGTCCTCCGGCTACACCATTGTGCTACCCTACAGAACACCTTATTGAAAAACAGTATGTTTTAATCCGTTATTTGGTGACGGGAATATATTTAGTGTAGTTTATCTAAAAAGGATAACTTTTTTTATATTTCACTTAATTTTTATGAAATTCCTCGTCTTCCTCCTCTGAGGAGCCTCCACTGGTATAGATAGGTGTAATCTAGGGCCAAGTGTGTTGATTTTCAATCCGAGGGTATCCTTATATTGACACACTTCTTGAATTATGCAACAGAACGTGACAACAACAGTAATTAGTGAGGCAGTCTAGACAGTGCAGGTAAGCCTAGACAGAGCACGATTTTGGTGGTGGCAGCCCTGTTCCACCCATTTATGTTAATCTATTAAAATATGCAAATATACCCCATGTATTTATGCAAATGAAGCACATATAATTTTCTTGATTTTAATCCAAACATTTTTTTTTTATATGCCTGATACCATTAGAAAATGTATATATGAGTGCATTCTAGGAAAACAAAAGTGAAATGTTACAATAAATTGAATACCTGAATTCCAACTCTTATGTGCTATAATTCAGTCAATATCTGATGGATTATAACATTTTTTTTTTTACATTTTTTGTCATTTAGCAGACGCTCTGATCCAGTTAGAGCATACATAATTTTTTTATTTTTCATACCCCCCGTGCGAATCGAACCCACAACCCTGGCGTTGTAAACGCCATGCTCTACCAACTGACCTACATCCCTGCCGGCCATTCCCTCCCCTACCCTGGACGACGCTGGGCCAATTGTGCGCCGCCCCATGGGTCTCCCGGTCGCGGCCGGCTACGACAGAGCCTGGATTCGAACCAGGATCTCTAGTGGCACAGCTAGCACTGCGATGCAGCGCCTTAGACCACTGCACCACTCGGGAGGCTGTAAAAATTCAAAAAGTTTGGAGTATCTTCATCCATTGTCCAACTGCATTTATTATAATTATTTTGAATCGAACCTGGGTCAGGGGCTGAATGTGCTGAACTACATACTGTATCATAATCTCTCCCTCACCTGAAGTGTTTCCCGGTGAGGGAGTGCAGCTCCTCCGCCACGGCACAGTAGATGGATGTCTGGGCCCCCTCCCGGGGGCTCTTCAGGAACAAGGAGAACAGAGAGAACAGCAGAGACATGATGGTGGAGTGGCGGACCAGCTCCGAGCGCACCGACCCCGGGTGGACAGAGTTCACTGTCACACTGGAACCTGGGTGGGAGGGACGAGGAAGGGAAGTGTGTTACCATGGGGACAGGGTTTCTCCAAGATCTTCCTCTGTGTGAGGACATTTTAGATGACCGTATGTTGCTAAGTAACTTCCCAACTGTCATTTTGCCTTTCTGATCGTGTATTTTGTGTTTGTGTTTTCTGACTGGAACTCTTCACTAACCCTCGGTTTCTCTGTGTTTTCTGACTGGAACTCTTCACTAACCCTCGGTTTCAATTCTGTGTTAATTAATCCATTATTCAATGCATGTGGCAGGTTGCCATTCTCTCTCACCCCACCAGCCTACAGTGAGGGAAAAAAGTATTTGATCCCCTGCTGATTTTGTATGTTTGTCCACTGACAAAGACATGATCAGTCTATAATTTTAATGGTAGGTTTATTTGAACAGTGAGAGACAGAATAACAACAAAAAAATCCAGAAAAACGCATGTCAAAAATGTTATAAATTGATTTGCATTTTAATGAGGGAAATAAGTATTTGACCCCTCTGCAAAACATGACTTAGTACTTGGTGGCAAAACCCTTGTTGGAAATCACAGAGGTCAGACGTTTCTTGTAGTTGGCCACCAGGTTTACACACATCTCAGGAGGGATTTTGTCCCACTCCTCTTTGCAGATCTTCTCCAAGTCATTAAGGTTTCGAGGCTGACGTTTGGCAACTCAAACCTTCAGCTCCCTCCACAGATTTTCTATGGGATTAAGGTCTTGCGACTGGCTAGGCCACTCCAGGACCTTAATGTGCTTCTTCTTGAGCCACACCTTTGTTGACTTGGCCGTGTGTTTTGGGTCATTGTCATGCTGGAATACCCATCCACGACCCATTTTCAATGCCCTGTCTGAGGGAAGGAGGTTCTCACCCAAGATTTGACGGTACATGGCCCCGTCCATCGTCCCTTTGATGCAGTGAAGTTGTCCTGTCCCCTTAGCAGAAAAACACCCACAAAGCATAATGTTTCCACCTCCATGTTTGACGGTGGGATGGTGTTCTTGGGGTCATAGACAGCATTCCTCCTCCTCCAAACACGGCGAGTTGAGTTGATGCCAAAGAGCTCCATTTTGGTCTCATCTGACCACAACACTTTCACCCAGTTCTCTGAATCATTCAGATGTTCATTGGCAAACTTCAGACAACCCTGTGTATGTGCTTTCTTGAGCAGGGGGACCTTGCGGGCGCTGCAGGATTTCAGTCCTTCACGGTGTAGTGTGTTACCAATTGTTTTCTTGGTGACTATGGTCCCAGCTGCCTTGAGATCATTGACAAGATCCTCCCGTATATAGTTCTGGGCTGATTCCTCACCGTTCTCATGATCATTGCAACTCCACGAGGTGAGATCTTGCATGAAGCCCCAGGCCGAGGAAGATTGACAGTTCTTTTGTGTTTCTTCCATTTGCGAATAATCGCACCAACTGTTGTCACCTTCTCACCAAGCTGCTTGGCGATGGTCTTGTAGCCCATTCCAGCCTTGTGTAGGTCTACAATCTTGTCAATGACATCCTTTGAGAGCTCTTTGGTCTTGGCCATGGTGGATAGTTTGGAATCTGATTGATTGATCGCTTCTGTGGACAGGTGTCTTTTAAACAGGTAACAAACTGAGATTAGGAGCACTCCCTTTAAGAGTGTTCTCCTAATCTCAGCTCGTTACCTGTATAAAAGACACCTGGGAGCCAGAAATCTTTCTGATTGAGAGGGGGTCAAATACTTATTTCCCTCATTAAAATGCAAATAAATTTATAACACTTTTGACATGCGTTTTTCTGGATTTTTTTGTTGTTATTCTGTCACTCACTGTTCAAATAAACCTACCATTAAAATTATAGACTGATCATTTCTTGAACAGTGGGCAAACGTACAAAATCAGCAGGGGATCAAATACTTTTTTCCCCTCACTGTAGGCTGGGGGGGTGAGAGAGAAACTTCCCTCGCTCTTCCCCCTCCCTCTCCCCCTCCCTCGCTCTTCCCCCTCCCTCTCCCCCTCCCTCCCTCTCCCCCCTCCCTCTCCCTCGCTCTTCCCCCTCCCTCTCCCTCGCTCTCCCCCCCTCCCTCGCTCTTCCCCCTCCCCTCTTCCCCTCCCCTCCCCTCTCCTCCTCCTCCTCCTCCTCCCCCTCCCCCTCCCTACCTTTGAGTCTGCGGGCCAGCTCCCTAGCGAACAGGACGTTGGCCAGCTTGCTCTGGCAGTATGCGAGGCCGCTGTTGTAGCTGCCCTGGCTGAGGAGGTCATGGAAGCGGATCCAGCCAAAGTTATGAGCCAGGGAGGAAACCACGACGATACGGGCCGGAGCGCTGCGTTTCAGCAGACCAATCAGGAGGTATGTCAACAAGAAGTGACCTATCAGGAGTAAAACAACGACAATGGAATCAGTTGCCTTGTCAGAAAGTAAATAATATGGATTATGGTGAATTTAACACTGAGTTTAATGGAATTGAAGGGCACCTTTGTAGGGTGCAACTTTGTATTACTTAGACTAGGTCCCTCATGGCTATTAATATGGAATAGAGGTGCTACAACTCTTCATAGATGAGTGATGTAGACATTATATACAATAATAATAATAATAATAATAATAATATGCCATTTAGCAGACGCTTTTATCCAAAGCGACTTACAGTCATGCGTGCATACATTTTTTGTGTATGGGTGGTCCCGGGGATCGAACCCACTACCTTGGCGTTACAAGCGCCGTGCTCTACCAGCTGAGCTACAGAGGACCACAATAATAATAATAATAATATGCCATTTAGCAGACGCTTTTATCCAAAGCGACTTACAGTCATGTGCGCATACATTTTTACGTATGGGTGGTCCCGGGGATCGAACCCACTACCCTGGCGTTACAAGCGCCATGCTCTACCAATTGAGCTACAGAGGTCTGCTTTAGTGTCTGAATACAGTATATACTGATGTCTGAAGTCAGTCCGCTGTGTAGTGTAACGGTCTCGTGATGAGGTAGCCTTGCCTGCGACTTCAAAAATCAGCCCAAGAGAGGATTTCCTATTGTGCTAAAGGGTCAAGACGTTTGTTTCTCCCGTAGGAGTCCTTGGTTCGGATCCCACCCGTGACATAAGTCTCTCCGTCTCACCCAGGTGGTTGACCCCCAGCTGCATCTCAAAGCCGTCGTTGGTCTTCATGTAGGGACACATCATGACCCCGGCATTGTTGATCAGGATGTGGAGGTGGTTGACCTCTACAGGGGGTCAGAGTCAATATTATACAGTTTGTTACAGAGCAGTAAACACATTATAATACGAGTGCTTGTTAATAACTAATAACGCTATAATAAATACTGTAATGATGAGTGCCGTTTGGGACGCATCCATGGAGTTGAAGGTTTACCTCGGAGGAAGCGTTGTGCGAAGGCCCGTATGGAGCTGGTATCAGCCAGGTCTAGCTCTCGGACCTCTACGTTTGCCTTGCAGTAGATGCGTCGTATCGATGCTGCGGCCTCCTCACCCTTCTCCACATCCCGGCACGCCATGATCACCCTCGCACCTGGCAATAGACAATAATCAATAACCAATCATCTGCATAATTGACACAGTTCCTTTAAAGACCACCTATCCTCTTCCTTTACTTATTGTTGAGGTCGTGAAGGACAGGCGGTAAGGACAGGAGGTAAGGACAGGAGGTAAGGACTGGAGGTAAGGACTGGAGGTAAGGACTGGAGGTAAGGACTGGAGGTAAGGAGGTAAGGACAGGGTAAGGAAGGAGGTAAGGACTGGAGTAAGGACTGGACGGGTAAGGAGGAAGGACAGATGTAAGGACAGGAGGTAAGGACAGGCGGTAAGGACAGGCGGTAAGGACTGGAGGTAAGGACAGGAGGTAAGGACAGGAGGTAAGGACAGGAGGTAAGGACAGGCGGTAAGGTAAGGAGGTAAGGAGGTAAGGACTGGAGGTAAGGACAGGAGGTAAGGACAGGAGGTAAGGACAGGAGGTAAGGACAGGAGGTAAGGACAGGAGGTAAGGACAGGAGGTAAGGACTGGAGGTAAGGACTGGAGGTAAGGAAGGAGGGTAAGGAAGGAGGTAAGGAGGGGTAAGGACTGGAGGTAAGGACTGGAGGTAAGGACGGAGGTAAGGACTGGAGGTAAGGACTGGAGGTAAGGAGGTAAGGACTGGAGGTAAGGACTGGAGGTAAGGACTGGAGGTAAGGACAGGAGGTAAGGACTGGAGGTAAGGAGGTAAGGACTGGAGGTAAGGACTGGAGGTAAGGACTGGAGGTAAGGACTGGAGGTAAGGACTGGAGGTAAGGACTGGAGGTAAGGACAGGCGGTAAGGACAGGCGGTAAGGACAGGCGGTAAGGACTGGAGGTAAGGACTGGAGGTAAGGAGGTAAGGACAGGAGGTAAGGACTGGAGGTAAGGACAGGAGGTAAGGACTGGAGGTAAGGACAGGAGGTAAGGACTGGAGGTAAGGACAGGAGGTAAGGACTGGAGGTAAGGACTGGAGGTAAGGACAGGAGGTAAGGACAGGAGGTAAGGACTGGAGGTAAGGAGGTAAGGACTGGAGGTAAGGACTGGAGGTAAGGACTGGAGGTAAGGACAGGAGGTAAGGACAGGAGGTAAGGACAGGAGGTAAGGACAGGAGGTAAGGACTGGAGGTAAGGTCAATAATGAGGCCACACTATGAATGACTATTAGGATGAAGACCATGTGTGCGTCCCAAATGGGACTATATGCACTCCTGTTGACCAAAGGGCACTAAATAAGGAAAAGGTTCCATTTGAGACAGCCTGTTTCTTTAATGGTTTCTTTCCTTCATCTCCAATGGCAATATCTTTGTGATGATGAATGTAAGGAGGCAAAGGACCACGTCTGACTATCAGCCCTGTATGTGTCAGTCAGTCACCTCTGATAGCCAGGTCCAGGGCAGTCTCCTTCCCAATACCAGTGTTGGCTCCAGTAATCAGGACCGTCTTCCCGTCCAGCCGGGCCATAGACATGCATGCTCCACCAGCAGAGTATTTCCTGACAGACAGGAAATATATCTGTGTTATTATCTCAAATCCAACGTATATAGCTGTCCTGTCTGTCCTGGTAAGGTTGGCACTGGCGTATTGTTAAAGTCCACACAGGCTGCGTTACAAATGGTACCCTATTCTCCATTTATTTATTCTTTATTTAACCTTTATTTAACTAGGCAAGTCAGTTAAGAACAAATTCTTATTTACAATGAAGGCCTACCCCGGCCAAACCCGGACGACGCTGGGCCAATTGTGCGCCGCCCTATGGGACTCCCAATCACGGCCGGTTGTGATACAGCCTGGAATCGAACCAGGGGGTGTGTAGTGACGCAGCGCCTTAGACCGCTGCGCCACTCGGGAGCCCATATAGTGCAATACTTTGACCAGGGCCCATATAGTGCACTATATTGGGAATAGGGTGCAACCCAGACTACACAGAATAGAGATTACGGTTTTAAAATAGTATTATTATTTTTTTAGAGTGGAGTTGATTATTATTTAATACTATTATTTACTATTTAACATGCAACATATTGTTACTAAATATGCAAGGATCACTCTGGCAACAATGATCGAAAGTGAACTCGTCCAACACAGTCACACCACAACACCTGGCTCTCCGAACAGAACGGTTCCAAATACAACGCCGCCCACGCGCCCAACGCATAATCAGGAAATGATAGCGCTCGAGCCTACTCTATTTCATTATTCAGCGTACGGGTAGCCTATATTGACAAATGGACAATATTCAATTTACAGTGCATTTAGAGCCTTAATTCCACACAACAACAACACATGAATGTTATACTGAAGAAGGTTGTCTTCATTATGGAAAATAGTGTTTCTATAGGCTTTATTATTGCAGGAGAAGAAGAGTCATCATCAACACTGAAGTCGATTCATTCAGCAACCCAATTGCCAGTCACAATCTCTTCGTCTTTCGGTAGCCTGACAATCATTGTTCGACTAATTAGGCAATATGAGATGCCAAGCGTAGAAGCAGATGGTGTATCGGCTATAGCCTTGAACATACAGCGCTTATTCTTACCTAATGTGGGGTGCGAATAAAACCATGAGCAGTGCAACCACCCCAAGACCTGCGACAATTAATACGAGAACCATCATGACACGGATCCGCTCTCTCGTAGTTCTTCTTCACTGCTGTTCCGTCATGGCTCGGTTCTCCGGTTCTGTGTTCCACCGACCGACGGCTGATCTGAGATGTCAAAGCTTTATGGTGAAGTGTAGGTGGATGGGTTGTGTCACAGATGCTCGTTCAATGGACCCTGGGATTGTAGTTTTATTCCACCGATTAATTATGGAAATTAAAATTTAAAAAGTGTTTTAAAGAAAACAAAAACTAAAGTGCAGTTGAATCTAATAGCTGCTATTTGGTTTGTAAGATACTAGTCTATATCTTCACTCTCAAATGAAAACAATAATTGATCTGAAAGAAGGTAAAGATATCAGTAATTGATTATTACAAAAACTACGTTGACCACAATGCACCAGTGAAAGTTGCCCTTTCAATGCCCGTATATAAATATCTGGCATATTATTTCAATTTGACCACACATTTTTTTTTAAAACTATTATTCATATTAGGAAAATCAACATACCCTGCCGACAGACATTTAAGTTACTTTGATTTTAAAAGCATGTACTTGACTTCCATTTCATTCGTGATAATTGGGCAGGATATCGCTAGACACGTGACACACGATCACCAGAATGCGGAAAGAGTCTCGAGGATCTTATTAGGGGTTTACGGTTTGTCAACAAAGCGTATCATCGGTAAATGTAACCGTTTCATTTTCTTTTGTGTTGTCAAGAAAGGAACGGACGATTCAAAACACAAAACCTGCCGCTAAAATAAAAGCAGAATGTCATCGGAAGAGTTTGAAAAGCTGCAGGAGATCTACAAATCCCTTTATGACGAACTGAAGTTGATGCCCGACAGATTACTGAAATGTCAAGGAGGTAAAAAAAAAAAAAAAACAGTTGAAGTTAAATCTGTAACTGTAAATATATGTATTTTGCATTCTAAATACCTCTCCAATACACTACCATCAGCTGACCCCCACCCTGTTGTCTTAGCTTAGTTTTACTTCTGCTTAGTGATAAGGTAGCTGGGCCGAGCAGATGCGTGTCGTCAACAACATTGGCGCGAACAACAATAGTGGAATCGGCGGTTCGTCTTTAAAATAAAAGTCCCCCCCATTGAAACTGATTCAAACGGATGATGAAAATAGTGGAGTCATGCCACACTTGCACTAGATGATGCTAAACAAGGTTGGAATGTTGTTATAGAAATTAAACAAAAGACAATTAGTTAATTTGACAAACACAAAAAAATCGGTTGAAATCGAACTCTGGATGTATAGACTTTGCATTGGGGGAATACATCTAGTGGAAAGCCTGCCCAGAAGAGTGGATGCTGTTATAGCAGCAAAGGGGGGGGGACCAACTCCATATTAATGCCCATGATTTTGGAATGAGATGTTGGACGAGCAGGTGTCCACATCCTTTTGGTCATGTGGTGTATATTGCAATGTACACAGCCTTACCTATGGATCTTGGGTCCATGAAATGGGATGTCAGCCTACTCATTGACGACCACAAAACGCAACTGTGAAGAGTTTTCACAATATTAGCGTTGTAGCTCAAATTGCAGGATTTTAACTGTGGGAAATCAACCTCACAATACAGTGTAATGTGTGTATTGGACATTGATATTGTACAGCTTTATCTATGGATCTGGGGTCCATGAAGCCTCAGGGAACTACAGACCCCACACAACAGAAAACATTATTCCTGTTGTAATTATTGGGTATATTAAATGCAGGTGGGTTCAACATGGATTTGAATTTGTGGCTTTCACCCCCATTTCATGGACCCAAGATCAAATCAAATTTTATTTGTCACATGCTTGGTGAGAGAGAGAGAGAGAGAGAGAGAGAGAGAGAGAGAGAGAGAAAGTATAGAAGTTAGAAATGTGGCTGTCACAAGTATTACAATGTAAATGTACCTTTTAATCCATCTGTCTACATATTATAAGACATAGCAGTGGGTTGGATGATACTTTTCTTGTCAATCATCTTTAAATAAACGTATACTTAAAAACTAGAAATCAACCCAATCCTTCATCGTTAACACAATGGAAAGGTCAAATGCTTTTATTATCTAAATATTGAAAGTGTGTGGGCAACAGAGAGAGAAAATGGTGCAGTTTGAGGCCATGTGGCGGAGGGTGATGCGGGCGCTGGAGGCAGGTGTGTGAGGCCATGTGGCGGAGAGTGATGCGGGCGCTGGAGGCAGGTGTGTGAGGCCATGTGGCGGAGAGTGATGCGGGCGCTGGAGGCAGGTGTGTGAGGCCATGTGGCGGAGAGTGATGCGGGCGCTGGAGGCAGGTGTGTGAGGCCATGTGGCGGAGAGTGATGCGGGCGCTGGAGGCAGGTGTGTGAGGCCATGTGGCGGAGGGTGATGCGGGCGCTGGAGGCAGGTGTGTGAGGCCATGTGGCGGAGGGTGATGCGGGCGCTGGAGGCAGGTGTGTGAGGCCATGTGGCGGAGGGTGATGCGGGCGCTGGAGGCAGGTGTGTGAGCAGGGGGGTCTGGCCAGGTGTGATGTCGTTGATGTATGTTTTGTTAAAAGAATATATACAGTAGCAGCAGCGTATGTGATGAGTCAAAGGGTCAATGCCGATAGTCCAGGCAGCTAGTTGGTTAACTATTTAACTAACTATGTAGCAGTCTTATGGCTTGGGAGTAGAAGCTATTCAGGGTCCTGTTGGTTCCAGACTTGGAGCTCCGGTACCGCTTGCCGTGCGGTAGCAGAGAGAACAGTCTGACTCGGGGGGGCTGAAGTCTTTGACAATTTGTAGGGCCTTCCTCTGGCACCGCCTGGTATAGAGGTCCTGGATGGCAGGAAGCTTGGCCCCAGTGACATACTGGGCCGTACGCACTACCCTCTGTAGCGCATTAAGAAGGAAAGAAATTAGTGATGTGGACACAGAGGAACGTGAAGCTTTCGACCCGCTCCACTACAGCCCCGTCGATGAGAATAGGGGCGGGCTCTGCCCTCATTTCCTGTAGTTCACGATCAGCTCCTTTGTCTTGCTGACGTTGAGGGAGAGGTTGTTGTCCTGGCACCACACTGCCAGGTCTCTGACCACCTCCCCTATAGGTTGTTTCATTGTCCTTGGTGATCAGGCCTACCACTGTTGTGTCGTCATCAAACTTAATGATGGTATTGGAGTTGTGCGTGGCCAACGCAGTTGTGGGTGAACAGGGATTACAGGAGGGGATACCCCATTTCATGGACCCCAAGATCCATAGGTAAGGCTCTACATTGCAATACAAGTATGCCCCCCTTTGCAAATCCTGAAGTCTATAAATCCACAGTGCGATTTCGACTGATTTTTTTCAAATTTAACAAATTATTGACTTTTGTTTAATTTATGTAACAGCATTCCAACAATGTTTAGCATGATTTAGTACGATTAGGGTCGGGGGTGATACCAGTATCGCGATACTCGTTAGTATCATGGCAAGGAAACAAAACACGAAGCGGATTTAACTTCTTTAGGAAAACAGCCCTAATGTTGGAAACAAACATGTTGTCATCCACAGTCACATCTATTTATGTTCCAAAATATATAGCACAAAATATTTTACTTGAAGCAGGTTTTTAAAGGATCAAATAGTTTGGTTAGCTTCGTTTTTTCATTTTTGCCATGGAAAAAATATTGCGATACTGGTATTTTCCCGGCCCTAGTACAATTATGGCATGATTTCACTATTCTCATCCGTTTTGCGTCAGTTTCAGTGGGGGACTTTTATTTTGAAGCCGAACAGCTATTCCACTATTGTTGCTCAAGCTAATGCTGTTCATGACACACTGGTGCCTAGCTGCAGACGCTAGTCGCCTACTTATGCTAGCATATCATAATGAACATAGAAAATATTTTCTAAGTAAACTGACACCAAGCACAATAGTGCAGCTCAGCCTTTAAAAAGTGAATACAGAGGTGTTCCTGTTTACAGAGGAGAAGAAGAGGTTGGTGAGGACTTTTGATGAGAGACATGGAGAGGCAGTGGAAGTGGTAAGTGGTACTGTGACATTTTATTTTCCATTGTATAGGTTAGCTTTTTCTAATGAATCTGTCACAAGTCTGATCTGTATCGATCTAGCTAACATTTCTAGCAGATTATTGTAAATGTTCACCAGCGGGCACTAGGTATCTGTGGTGGTTTACTAATAACCTTGATAAGATATAAATGCTACTGGCATAGAGTTTAAGGAATTACACTACAGTTCAAAAGTTTGGGGTCACTTAGAAATGTCCTTGTTTTCGAAAGAAAAGCATTTTTTTTGTCCATTAAAATAACATCAAATTGATCAGAAATACAGTGTAGACATTGTTGATGTTGTAAATGGCTATTGTAGCTGGAAACGGCTGATAATTTTTTTTTTTGAATATCTACATAGGCGTACAGAGGCCCATTATCAGCAACCATCAGTCCTGTGTTCCAATGGCATGTTGTGTTTGATAATCCAAGTTTATCATTTTAAAAGGCTAATTGATCATTAGAAAACCCTTTTGCAATTATGTTAGCACACTTGAAAACTGTTGTACTGATTTAAAGAAGCAATAAAACTGGCCTTCTTGAGACTAGTTGAGTATCTGGAGCATCATCAATTTTGGTTTCGATTACAGGATCAAAATGGCCAGAAACAAATAACTGTCTTCTGAAACTCGTCAGTCTATTCTTGTTCTGAGAAACACCAGTCTCAACGTCAACAGTGCAGAGGCGACTCCGGGCTGCTGACCTTCAAGGCAGAGTTGCAAAGAAAAAGCCATATCTCAGACTGGCCAATAAAAATAAAAGTTTAAGATGGCCAGTCTGAGATATGGCTTTTTCTTTGCAACTCTGCCTAGAAGGTCAGCATCCCGGAGTCGCCTCTTCACTGTTGACGTTGAGACTGGTGTTTTGCGGGTACTATTTAATTAAGCTGCCAGTTGAGGACCTGTGAGGCGCCTGTTTCTCAAACTAGACACTCTAATGTATTTGTCCTCTTGCTCAGTTGTGCACTGGGGCCTCCCACTCCTCTTTCTATTCTGGTTAGAGCCAGTTTGCGCTGTTCTGTGAAGGGAGTAGTACACAGCGTTGTACGAGATCTTCAGTTTCTTGGCAATTTCCTGCATGGAATAGCCTTAATTTCTCAGAACAAGAATAGACTGACGAGTTTCAGAAGAAAAGTTCTTTGTTTCTGGCCATTTTGATCCTGTAATCGAACCCACAATTGCTGATTCTCCAGATACTCAACTAGTCTCAAGAAGGCCAGTTTTATTGCTTCTTTAAATCAGCACAACAGTTTTCAGCTGTGCTAACAGCAAGAACTTTGAAAATTTCTTCAAGTGCGCGACCACGCATTAGGTTGCACTACTGTTGTTTTAATACTGCTCTTTAATTAATTAATCTTTTATTTTTTTAGTTATCTATTTTTTACTTAACACTTATTGTTGGTTAAGGGCTTGTCAGTAAGCATTTCACTGTAAGGTCTACAGCTGTTGTATTTGGCGCATGTGGCAAATAAAATTTAGATTTGAAGTTTAAAAAAATGAAATGAAATAAAAAGCCTGGAGAAGAGGAACAGACCATTTTAGGGGGGTATGAAATGACTCGTGTTTCACCTGGTGGATCTCCAGCTGCAGGCCATGGAGCAGGAGTTGATCGGTGCTCCCTCGTCCTACCGTAACACCATGTCCACCAAACTGCGTCTGTACCGCAGAGACCTGGGGAAGCTCCAGCGAGAGGTGAAGAGCTCTGACCTGTCCTCCTCCTCCTCTACGCGGCCAGCAGAGGGCGCCTACGGCGTCTACTCCTCTCAGAACGAACACAGTGTGAGTCTAGACTGACTTACATGGTCTGGGGTCAGTTTAGCATTTCTCCCCACTAATGGTTAAGGTTAGAACTTGGGGAAGGGAAGCTGATCCTAGATCTGTAGATAGAGGGATCTTTCACCCTGGAGCGGTAAAGCCAATACAGCCTTAATAGGAGGGGATGCTGTGGAGTTGCAAGACGACATCCCTGACAGGGACACAATAAATAATATATTCAGGGCTACGTTCGCCTGACAGCTTATTGCACTTTCCATGCAGGGATTGATTGATTTATTAATTGATTGATTGATTGTTGATTTTATGTTATCTGTTTGTTTCAGACCCAGCTTCAGTCTCAGAGGACCTTGCTGCTCCAGGGACACGAGCACCTGAACAACGCCAGTCAGAGTATCGAGAGGAGTCAGCGCATCGCTGCGGAGACGGACCAGATCGGCGTGGACATCATCGAGGAGCTGGGAGACCAGAGAGAACAGCTGGACCGCACCAGAGACCGAGTGAGTGGGATTGGGGAAGCTCTGGAGACGTAAGGCTCTGAGTGTGAAGGGGTTGGGGGAAGGGTTCGTTTTCTCAGAGTAGGAGTGCTGATCTGGGAGCAGTTTAGCCTTTTGGATCATAATGAATGAGGTTATATGGACAGAACCTAGTTCAGCACTTCTAATCTGAGATGCTTTGTGGATACGGACCCTTGGTGTCAGAACTATGGCAGCCTGGTCCCAAGTCTTCCACTACACTGGTTATATCTGGCTATCCAGACCTCCTCCTCCACAATACTGGTTATATCTGGCTATCCAGACCTCCTCCACCACTACACTGGTTATATCTGGCTATCCAGACCTCCTCCACCACTACACTGGTTATATCTGGCTATCTAGACCTCCACCACCACAATACTGGTTATATCTGGCTATCCAGACCTCCTCCTCCACAACACTGGTTATATCTGGCTATCCAGACCTCCTCCACCACTACACTGGTTATATTCTGGCTACCAGACCTCCTCCACCACAATACTGGTTATATCTGGCTATCCAGCCCTCCTCCACCACTACACTGGTTATATCTGGCTATCCAGACCTCCTCCACCACAATACTGGTTATATCTGGCTATCCAGACCTCCTCCACCACAATACTGGTTATATCTGGCTATCCAGACCTCCTCCACCACAATACTGGTTATATCTGGCTATCCAGACCTCCTCCACCACAATACTGGTTATATCTGGCTATCCAGACCTCCTCCACCACAACACTGGTTATATCTGGGCTATCCAGACCTCCTCCACCACTACACTGGTTATATCTGGCTATCCAGACCTCCTCCACCACTACACTGGTTATATCTGGCTATCCAGACCTCCTCCACCACTACACTGGTTATATCTGGCTATCCAGACCTCCTCCACCACTACACTGGTTATATCTGGCTATCCAGACCTCATCCACCACAACACTGGTTATACCTGGCTATCCAGACCTCATCCACCACAACACTGGTTATATCTGGCTATCCAGACCTCCTCCGCCACTACACTGGTTATATCTGGCTATCCAGACCTCCACCACTACACTGGTTATATCTGGCTATCCAGACCACCTCCTCCACAACACTGGTTATATCTGGCTATCCAGACCTCATCCACCACAACACTGGTTATATCTGGCTATCCAGACCTCCTCCACCACAACACTGGTTATATCTGGCTATCCAGACCTCCTCCACAACACTGGTTATATCTGGCTATCCAGACCTCCTCCACAACACTGGTTATATCTGGCTATCCAGACCTCCTCCACCACTACACTGGTTATATCTGGCTATCCAGACCTCCTCCACCACTACACTGGTTATATCTGGCTATCCAGACCTCCTCCACACACTGGTTATATCTGGCTATCCAGACCTCCTCCACAACACTGGTTATATCTGGCTATCCAGACCTCCTCCTCCACAACACTGGTTATATCTGGCTATCCAGACCCTCCTCCACAACACTGTGTTATATCTGCTATCCAGACCTCCTCCACTACTACACTGGTTATATCTGGCTATCCAGACCTCCTCCTCCACAACACTGGTTATATCTGGCTATCCAGACCTCCTCCTCCACAACACTGGTTATATCTGGTCTATCCAGACCTCCTCCTCCACAACACTGGTTATAATCTGCTATCCAGACCTCCACCACTACTACACTGGTTATATCTGGCGATCCAGACCTCCTCCACAACACTGGTTATATCTGGCTATCCAGACCTCCTCCACAACACTGGTTATATCTGGCTATCCACACCTGTCAGATCATTAAATATCAAGGGAAGGCAGCAAATTGAGACTGTCTTGGAATCATAACCATCAGAGTTCTAGAAGAGAGAAGATGTTGCATTTTGATGACCTCTTGTTGTCTTTGTTGTGGTCCACCTGTTAGCTGGTCAACACTGGGGAGAACCTCAGCCGGAGCAGGAAGATCCTGCGAGCAATGTCCGCCGGTGAGTCCCATCAGCTGTGCTGTCTTGTCAGGTCGGTCTTGTCAGGTCGGTCTTGTCAGGTCGGTCTTGTCAGGTCGGTCTTGTCAGGTCGGTCTCACAAGACAGCCCTGTTACACTATATCCATGATAATGTATGCACTCACTAACTGTAAGTGGCTCTGGATAAGAGCGTCTGCTAAATGACTAAGATGTAAATGTAAATGTAAATGTGAATCCATGTCCTCAGGTGTAAAATGTTTTTATTTATACAGGTTATTCTACATTTATACAGGTTATTCTACATTTATACAGGTTATTCTACATTTATACAGGTTATTCTACATTTATACAGGTTATTCTACATGTATACAGGTTATTCTACATGTATACAGATTATTCTACATGTATACAGGTTATTCTACATGTATACAGGTTATTCTACATGTATACAGGTTATTCTACATGTATACAGGTTATTCTACATGTATACAGGTTATTCTACATGTATACAGGTTATTCTACATTTATACAGGTTATTCTACATTTAAACAGGTTATTCTACATGTATACAGGTTATTCTACATGTATACAGGTATTCTACATGTAACAGGTTATTCTACATTGTTAGTTCTCATGTTCGGTTTCTACATTTAACTATTTTGCCAAAAGCGTTTATTCATCATTTCTAATTGTCCTGCCATTTGGTGCTGTGTCTCTACCTCTTTTTCGCTGATGACCCGCTGATTTCATCAGGTCATCATCTAACTGGTCATTCTGGCTTCTCTACTTCCAATCTCTTCTCGCAAGTACGTCCCTCGTCTGACTCCTCTCCCCATTACTGTCCTCTGTCCTCGCGCTCTCCCTTCCTCTCCCCTGTCCTCTCTCTCTCTCTCTGCTCCTCCCCTGTCCTCCCCTCCCCTGTCGTCCTCCTACCTCTCCCCTGCCTTCCTCTCCTCCTCCCTCTCCGCCTCTCCCTCCTCCTCCTCTCTTCCCTCCCTCTCCTCTCCCCCTCCCCTGTCCTCTCTCCTCTCCCCTCTCCCCTCCCCCCTCCCCTCCCCTGTCCTTTCCTGTCCTCTCCCTCCCTTCCTCTCTCCTCTCCCCCTCTCCCCTCCCCTTTCCTTGTCCTCTCACCCTCTCTCCCCTCCCTGTCCCTCTCTCCTCCTCTCCTCTCTCCCCTCTCTCCTCTCCTCCTCCTCCCCTCCTCCCTCTCCCCCTCTCCTCCCCTCTCCCTCTCCTCTCTCCTCTCTCCTCTCTCCTCTCCCCTCTCCCCTCTCCTCTCTCCTCCTCTCTCCCCTCTCCCCTCTCCTCTCTCCCCTGTCCTGTCCTCTCTCTTCTCTGTTCACCTATACCCCATTGTGCTGTTCCTGACCAGAGCTAAACCACTAAACGTGTGATATATCCCTGGGCCTGGGGAGTGCTCATGAGGACACAACACTGTTTTCTTGACTGAAGATGAGGAACAATGTGAGAAAGAATGACTGTTTCTGTTCGTTATGACGGGAGTGTATCCAAGACTCGACGAGCCGCGTTTCAAGCCAGGATGTATGGACCAAGCCAAGCCCAGGGACGGTATATTAACACTGGACATGGATATGATCCAGACTTGTTAATGCGTAATGCGCTGTCTGATCCAGGAGTGAACTTCCATGGTTCTGTTCCGCACACTTTTATCATGGAGAAGTGTCTGCAGTCATTTATTTACTGACTCGGGTTACTGTGTAGGATTGATTTTTGTGTATGTCTCAGGTCCGAGCATTAAGGCCTCAAATCCACCCTCCCCTTATTCTAGTCTTGAAATAGAACTCTACTGCTTTCGACATTGTTATGACAACCTTGCCGGGCTGAGCAGTTGAAGGATGAGGGTTTATCAATACTAACTAGTCTTTCATTGAAATGCATGAAATTTAAAATATGCATTCTCCATAAATGAAATCACTCTATAGAAATACCTTTGACATGTACTAACAATAACAAAAAGTAAATGAATTGATATAAAAGTGGTTTTGTAAATGTATTTTTGTATTGTGTTTTATCTTTGGTACTGCCTCTCTGTGGCCAAAGCTGAGAAGTTGGAAAGAAGACGGGGTTAGGGACAGAAATACTGATAACATTCAGCACCGTTTTGAGAACAGGTTTTCAAAGGGCTATAGTCCAGCTAACGTGGCAAAATAATATGAAAATAAATGTGAGTGTTAAGCATGAACTTGTGACTTTAAGATCATGTGTTTATATTATTGAAATGTACTATTAAAGTTAAGCTAATTCTTACCCTACAATCTATCTGCAATATTAAAGCTGATCTACCCCCTACATAAAAAAAAAAAAAACTTACCCTCAGCATGTCTCCGTGTCTGATAGGCAGTCCACTAAAGTTGATCATGTGTCTGACACGGGTGTAGTGATTACACGCTAAACAGGGACAGAGGACATGGGTGTAGTGATTACACGCTAAACAGGGACAGAGGACACGGGTGTAGTGATTACACGCTAAACAGGGACAGAGGACACGGGTGTAGTGATCACACGCTAAACAGGGACAGAGGACACGGGTGTAGTGATCACACGCTATACAGGGACAGAGGACACGGGTGTAGTGATTACACGCTAAACAGGGACAGAGGACACGGGTGTAGTGATTACACACGGGACAGGGACAGAGGACACGGGTGTAGTGATTACACGCTAAACAGGGACAGAGGACACGGGTGTAGTGATTACACGCTAAACAGGGACAGAGGACACGGGTGTAGTGATTACACGCTAAACAGGGACAGAGGACACGGGTGTAGTGATTACACGCTAAACAGGGACAGAGGACACGGGTGTAGTGATTACACACAGGACAGGGACAGAGGACACGGGTGTAGTGATCACACGCTAAACAGGGACAGAGGACACGGGTGTAGTGATTACACGCTGACCAGGGACAGAGGACACGGGTGTAGTGATTACACGCTAAACAGGGACAGAGGACACGGGTGTAGTGATTACACGCTAAACAGAGACAGAGGACACGGGTGTAGTGATTACACGCTGACCAGGGACAGAGGACACGGGTGTAGTGATTACACGCTGACCAGGGACAGAGGACACGGGTGTAGTGATTACACACTAAACATGGACAGAGGACACGGGTGTAGTGATTACACGCTAAACAGGGACAGAGGACACGGGTGTAGTGATTACACACTAAACAGGGACAGAGGACACGGGTGTAGTGATTACACGCTGACCAGGGACAGAGGACACGGGTGTATCAGAGGTAGGCTTGTTCTCAACTGGTTTACCTGGTTAAATAAAGGTGAAATAAATAAATAAATAGGCTAAAGAGAGGAAGACTACGATTGAAGCCAGATCTACTCAGGGTTTTCTAAAGCTAGCCAGCTTCAGTTGGCATCACATTCCATCTCAGGCTTCATTCGTACTACGACGGTGGATATCGCTCGTCCGCTTGCTGATAACTAGCAGGCTTGTAACTACGTCTGTACAGTGGGGGAAAAAACGTATTTAGTCAGCCACCAATTGTGCAAGTTCTCCCACTTAAAAAGATGAGAGAGGCCTGACATTTTCATCATAGGTACACGTCAACTATGACAGACAAAATGAGAAGAAAAAAATCCAGAAAATCACATTGTAGGATTTTTAATAAATTTATTAGCAAATTATGGTGGACAATAAGTATTTGGTCAATAACAAAAGTTTCTCAATACTTTGTTATATACCCTTTGTTGGCAATGACACAGGTCAAACGTTTTCTGTAAGTCTTCACAAGGTTTTCACACACGGTTGCTGGTATTTTGGCCCATTCCTCCATGCAGATCTCCTCTAGAGCAGTGATGTTATGGGGCTGTCGCTGGGCAACACGGACTTTCAACTCCCTCCAAAGATTTTCTATGGGGTTGAGATCTGGAGACTGGCTAGGCCACTCCAGGACCTTGAAATGCTTCTTACGAAGCCACTCCTTCGTTGCCCGGGCGGTGTGTTTGCGATCATTGTCATGCTGAAAGACCCAGCCACGTTTCATCTTCCATGCCCTTGCTGATGGAAGGTACATGGCCCCATTCATTCTTTCCTTTACACGGATCAGTCGTCCTGGTCCCTTTGCAGAAAAACAGCCCCAAAGCATGATGTTTCCACCCCCATGCTTCACAGTAGGTATGGTGTTCTTTGGATGCAACTCAGCATTCTTTGTCCTCCAAACACGACGAGTTAAGTTTTTACCAAAAAGTTATATTTTGGTTTCATCTGACCATATGACATTCTCCCAATCCTCTTCTGGATCATCCAAATGCACTCTAGCAAACTTCAGACGGGCCTGGACATGTACTGGCTTAAGCAGGGGGACACGTCTGGCACTGCAGGATTTGAGTCCCTGGCGGCGTAGTGTGTTACTGATGGTAGGCTTTGTTACTTTGAATGCAGGTCATTCACTAGGTCCCCCCATGTGGTTCTGGGATTTTTGCTCACCGTTCTTGTGATCATTTTGACCCCACGGGGTGAGATCTTGCGTGGAGCCCCAGATCGTGGGAGATTATCAGTGGTCTTGTATGTCTTCCATTTCCTAATAATTGCTCCCACAGTTGATTTCTTCAAACCAAGCTGCTTACCTATTGCAGATTCAGTCTTCCCAGCCTGGTGCAGGTCTACAATTTTGTTTCTGGTGTCCTTTGACAGCTCTTTGGTCTTGGCCATAGTGGAGTTTGGAGTGTGACTGTTTGAGGTTGTGGACAGGTGTCTTTTATACTGATAACAAGTTCAAACAGGTGCCATTAATACAGGTAACGAGTGGAGGACAGAGGAGCCTCTTAAAGAAGAAGTTACAGGTCTGTGAGAGCCAGAAATCTTGCTTGTTTGTAGGTGACCAAATACTTATTTTCCACCATAATTTGCATATAAATTCATTAAAAATCCTACAAAGTGATTTTCTGGATTTTCTTTTCTCAATTTGTCTGTCATAGTTGACATGTACCTATGATGAAAATTACAGGCCTCTCTCATCTTTTCAAGTGGGAGAACTTGCACAATTGGTGGCTGACTAAATACTCCCCCCCCCCCCCCCCCCACTGTATGTCGCACGTGGCTAGTTGAACGC